CTGGTCGACCTGGGAGGGTCAGCCGGATCCGCGGCGATGCGCGAGAATACGCGAGTCGAAGTGAGCGAGGTGGTGTGGCTGTGGCAGACACGCACCATAATGGCCGAGCCACTGATCATGATCTTGCCGCCATTTGCGCACATTGGATCCTCCCACATTGGCTGAACGCCCGTAGCGAAGAATTGGAAAGTGATGTCGGTCCTCCAGACGTGTACTCCCAGCCCCGCGGTATTGGGCAACATCTGCTGGCCTGGCGGCTCGATACTGCGTCCCGTGCTCTTTGCGAGCTTGCGGCGGAGAGCGCGGTACTTGCCGAATAGGTCGGCGATGTCCTGGCTGGTGAATATGTGGATGAGGCCACCGGAGTACGCCTCGGCGGTCGTCTGGGATAATGGGGAAAGGCCCTTGCGCGAGTTGTCGGAGCAGGTCAGAGTCCAGGAGCGGTTGAGCGGGTACAACCCGTCGATGTCGATCTGGCCCTCGGCCGGAGCGTCGGCAGAGGGTGGTTGAGACTCTTGCTCTGGCGGAGGCGGCGGCGGCGTTTGCTGTGGGAGTAGGAGTGACCCCTCCAAGGTCCAGGGAACTGGCGAGGACGGCTCGGGAGATGCAGATTTTGGCGGTGACGACTTGGGAGACGCCTCGGTGACCGTGAAAGTCGGGAGCGACGGGATTGCAGGACTACTGGATTCCATCGACACGGCGGGTTCCGTTGATGCCGATGGGGGCGAATCGATCGGCGCGGTGTCGGTGTCAGGCAGCGTGAATGGAAAGGGGGTAACGAGCGGGGCGTCCGATTCCGGAATGGTGATTGGCCCCGGGTCGGCTTGGAGCTCCATCATTGACGTCGATGGAACAGCCAGTATCCTCATTGTGGCCGTGGCGGATCTTGTCTCTGGCGAGTCTTCCAAATCGTAGTCCTCGAATGGAGGCGAGTCGTATTGCACCGGGTTATGCTCTAGTGGTGGCGAATGCGGCGGCGAATCGATAGAGAGCAGGAGAGAAGTTGTTGGCGATACTGCGGGAAGGGACGAGTCGGCTTCTGAAGGCGACGATCCGTGCCCATGCTTCTCTTTCCGAGACGGATTGGCTGGAGCGGACACTACCTCCATCTGTGGATCCGTGGGCGATGGCGGCGATCCCTCCGTCGGGGTCGAGGCGGGTTTGGGGGTCTTTTCTCCCTCGCCCTCGGAGCTGTATCCCTCTGGAGGAGACAGTTGGTTGCGTCCACGGGACCACCTGAAATCGGGTATCTTGCCCCAGTCCGGAGTCGCTTTGGGACCCGTCGGAGTCTTGTCTGGGTCCTCTTCCTCGTCCTGACTTTGAGTCCTCTCACTCCCCGCCGCAGCTCGTACCTCCGGGTCAATCTCTATTGGCATGTTGGCGATCTCCCGGATCTCCCTGTCCGAGAGACTCTCCTCATCCTCCTCTGGAATCGCCGCGAGGTTGCCCTTCTTTTTCTTTTTCTTCTTGTTCTTGTTCTTGTTCTTGTTCTTGCTCTTCCCCGCCGCTGTCGAGGACGTGGCCTCGTCGAGAACCGCCTGGTTCGCTGCCGCCGTGATGCCTTCGTCCTCCTATCCTTGTCAGCCCGGCTACCAACCCATACTCGAGACACCCCATGAGTCGTGACATGTGGGCGTGGCGTCTGGGCACGGACATACCGGGATAGGCTCTCCTGACCAACCCTCGCCCGGGTCCGTGGCCCTCGCGATAGGCCCTCCGATTTGCTTGATCCCCTCACCCTCCGCCTCTCTCACATCAATCGTCCCCCCAAACCAAGCACTTCTCCACACCCTCCTCTCCGCTTCCGGCCTCCACGACGAATATGGAATCACCCGAGCCCCAAGCAGGTTCAGGTGATTCAGGCTGTCACGCATGTCTTTCTCCTGCAACGCGCGAACGAGGATGTCCATCTGCCTGGGAGTCTGAAAACCCATCGAAGCAAAGTCGGAGGGGGACTTTTCGATGATGATTCGGGGGATCCGGTGGACGTGTGGCGGGGGCATGGCGGGGGGAGGGCCGGCGGGGGTCTCTGTTGGAGTGTCGTCCCCGGCTGGAGAAGAGGATGGAGAGGACGGGGAGGCCATCGTCGCGGTGGTGTGAGATGCGAGGAAGACGATGTGCCCCGAGAAGAGAAGAAGAATAGAAGAGGGAAAGGTTTGGTGATGTCTTGGTGAAACACACCATCACACACCGACACACCGTCGCCATCAACCGACGCCGTGGTCCGAGCGCGACCAGGCACTGCCACCAAAGCTGGCTACTTGTACGTGTACTTGTACAATCACTTGTCGATGCATACTTCGCACAACTCGACTCGTGCTAATCCTGCGCGAGGTGTATCACACTCTTCAGCTTCTCCATCACGTCCGGCTGCACCCCACCGTCCCCCGCGCTGTCCACGAGCTTCTGCATCACCGCCGCCAGCTGCTCCTTCGTGTCCACCTTGAGCGCCTTCATCATGTCCCCCGTCCAGTCGTGTATGTCCTGGCCCTCGTGCAGCTGCTCGGGAGGGACCGGCACGTCTTCAATCGGCAGGAACAGGTCCTCGTCCTCGACTTCTTCGTCCACAAACTCGTCCTCGTCCTCGTCCTCGTTATCCTCTCGGCGCCGCTTCTGCTTCCGCCGTTGCTTCTTTCCCGACGCCGTGGCGGCCGAGGGTGTCGCCTCGTCCTCGTCGGAATCGTCGCTGTCAGAGTTCCGCTTCGGAGAGGTCTCGGGGATGAAGTCGGCGTCATCCGCGCCGTCGTCAAAGGGAAAGTTGAAAATGGTGCTAAAGTCGAGTCCGGGCAAGGAGCTGAAATCGACTCCACTGAAATCGAGACCGGGAATCACTTCTGGAACCGCAGCAGCGGAAGGCTCCGCAGGGACTGGCACCGAAGCGAGGGGGAGAACCGGAGTCAGACCGTCAAGGTAGTCCGCCGCGGGAGGCGCAGGAGTCGGAAGATTTAGTCCAGCGCCTTGAACAATGTTCCGCAGACGCTCAACCCTGCAGCGTCAGACGAACACTCCGATTACAGCCGAGTGACTCACTCCTGCTCGAGATCCCTGCACCGCTTCTCCAACGCCTCGCACGCGTCCTCCTTCTCCTTGTACCTCTCCTCCAGATCCCCAAAGAACTCCTTCTTCTTCCGCCTCGACTCGAGCGCTAGGCCGTCAGCGGCAAACCGCCATGCACTTCTCGCCGCACTCACCAGACTTCTTGTTCCGCTCCTTCCGCCTCGCCATGACCTCCTCTTTGCTCAGTAACTTTCTGCTTCCCTTGCCGGTCGGCGGCTGCGGCCACTCCGGGAGGTCTGGGTCGTCTATCCTCGCTCGCTTGGGATCGGGAGCGAGACCGGCGGCATTGGTCCGCTTCTTTGCTGCCTCGGAGGGGTTGGGGACCGAAGGTGTCCCGCCGACGTGGTTTCTCGGCGTGTTTGTTCTCCAGCTCGCAAGGGGGGTTTCGCGCGTGAACGCGGAATCCTTCCCGGAAGCCTGGGGCTGGAGTTGCGGTTGCGGTTGCAGCGCGGTCAACGCGGCTGCGAGCGCGCCCATCGCTCCTCCCGGGACCCCACTGGGACCCTGATTGGTCTGCTGATGCGCCGGGCCGTTCGCCTGGATCAGCCCCGTTGTTTCCATCGCGCTGAGGATCGGGAGCATCGCCGGCACACCCTGCAGCGCGGCCAGCAGTCTCTGGCTCGGCGCCTGCACGGGCGGGCGTGACTGTCGGCCAGAGCGGGTCACCTGGACGGGGGTGGATTGGGGCTGGAAGTTCTGCGCGCTCATCGCGTTGAGAAGCATCGTGGCCCACAAGGGAGTGATCGAGTCGTCGCCCTGCGAGACGGCCGTGTTGGCAGCGGAGGAGAAGGCGTTGGTGCCGAATATCGCGTCGAGCGCCGCCGAGTCGGGAACGGGGGGCTACGTAGTCAGCATATCGTCCTACGTGGGTACCCTCTTGTCCTCGGCTGCCATGTCGACCGACTCACCTGCGGCGAATGATTCATCAGGCTTCGCAGGCTCGGCGCCATGTTGCCCAAACCGTGGTGCAGCCCGTTCTCACTGGCGACAGCGGCAAGCAAGGCGTCTAAACCCGCTGCCGGGTGACCCTGTGCTGCCATTGTCGATAGTAGGACTGTGCGAGGGGGCAACCACGGCGAGAGACGAAGACCCGGGCTTTTGAGGAGATAAAGTAAGATCGTCGGATTCTGGACTTTGTAAGTCGTGACGTGTACACAAACAACGCGACGGAGGACGGAAGCAGATTGTGAACGGTGGCGACGGCGATCGCCGCCAACGCCAGGCGTCCAACAAACAGACGATTGTTGTGTATAGTCCGCAGAGATCCCTGCAGATCAACAGAGTCATTGCGCAACGTCTGTTCATGGGGTCGGCCATGGTAGTGGGTCCTCGTGTGGCAGCTACCTGCTGTACAAATCAAGTGTGATTGTAGACAGCAACAGCTCAAGGATTGCGCAATTCTAACCCCCGATCCGCGGCGAGGAAATTTGAAGCCAGTCATAAGGCTCAACGCAGTCTGGCGTCGCCGAGGACTGGCACATAGCATTGGTACCACACTGATAATCTCACAGGAACGCGAACATGCGGGTTCTATCCGACCCGCATGGCCCGATCGACAGCGTCACCGAGGCGTTTACGGGCTCCCATTCGTCCGTCCGCTCACTCCTGTCATCCCTCCCACTGTACACCCGCACTCCTCCAGGCGTTCGCGTGCACGCGCACGCGCATAGAGCCCGGTTCGACTCCACAGGAGACCCTGGCCGTTCAAACGCGTATCATCCATGGCTTTCCCAGCAGTGAATGGTACAAGTGACACGCCGGGTGCCACTTTCCACAATCAGGCACCGCCACTAAATTCACTGTGTGGCATTTGTGGCACCATTTTCATCCTTCGTCCCTCGTTGATTCCCGGCCCTCTTCGACCTCCCAACTCATGTTTTTGAACCTCCATTTCATGTTTCGACTCGATTGGGGCAAAACGAGAGCAAAAAGAAGATGTCAAGAGGTCCTCCCCGGAGTCGAACCGGGCTCTAAGGAATCAGAATCCTGCGTACTAACCGATATACTAGAGGACCATGCATGTTTTAGCATTTTGGGTTTATGATTCCCTTCGGCGTCCCCATGCGGGGACCCGCATGCTAATCACTGATTGGTTTGCGCCACCATCACCCGACGGCCCGGGGGCCGCCTGAGGTGGGTGGCAACTACTCTTACGTTGTCCTGGATGCTCCATCAACTCTCTGTGTCTCTCCTTCGTCTCCTCGTTTCCGCTTGCGGCTGGGCCCAGCTTCGGCGTTGACCATCCAGTGGTCGGTGGGGGGTGCTTGGGCGAAGAATAGGGCCTTTCTCTTGCGTCCGCGGCCTCGGCCTCGGTATGGTACAACTTCGGGGGAGGGTGAGCGGGGTAAAGGGTGTGAGTCGTCTTGGCCGTCGGATCGATGTGGTGCATCTGCGGGTGCGTCAGCTGTGTTCGGTGCGGAAGCGGGGGAACGGGAAGTGGGGGAGGGGTCCCTGGCGCCAGGGAGGTGGGTGTCCCCATCCTGGTGGTCATGGTCCGGGTCGTGGTCGGGGTTGATATCGTGGTCGTGGGCAGTGTCGTGGTCGTGGCCAGTGTCGTGGTCGGGGTCGTCATCATCGTCGGGTCGGTCGTCCGGTCGCGGGCGAGGTGTAGCTGCAGATGCTTGCCACAGGTTTCGTCTTCTGGTCCATTCGGCGACCCAGCGTCCGTAGATACGCGCGGTGAGGGTGATGGCGAATTCATGGGCGGTTAGGCGGTCGGCGGGCAGGAGGGGCGGGTGAGTCGGGGGCACCAGGCCCAGCCAGTACTGAAGGTGTGGCTCCTGTGGTGCGCGGGGGGCAAGCATGTGTTCCAGGTATTGTGACCAGGCATCGAGTCTCGCGGTGTGAGCTTGGGCGTCGCCTTCCGCGCAGAGCCTGGAGCGGAGGCGTTCCCTGCTCTGCGCGAGGGCGTCAGTTCGGACGGTGTGCACAGCTTGACAGTGGAGGAAGAGGTGCTGGAGGTCGCCGATTTCCGCTCCACACAGTGTGCACTCGGGGCTGTCGACCTGGCGCTTGCACCAATCCGTGTAGTCGCTCCGGAGGAGGCCGGCACGGGCGAGGTACTGTGTCTTCGCGAGAAATTTGCTGGGTGTGTTGGTGTAGAAATAGCGGGGCGTGGGTGTGGGTTGGTGGATGTCATATGCGGTGAGGCGGCGCTGGGTGTTGGCGGGGGCTGTCCGGAGTTGGTGAGTGACGAGGGCCGCATCGAGGACATCTGTCCATGTGTCTGGTGCGTAGCCAGTGGTGGGGTGGTAAGGCACGAAGCGGGTCATCCACGATGTGGTGGGTCCGACAAGGGTGGCGTTGGGGGAGTCATGAGCCTCTTTGGCGAGGTGGTCGACAGCAGCATTCAGGCGGGAGTCCAGGTCGTCTGCGTCGGTATGTGCTTTGATGTGGGAGATTACCGGGGGGTGCTCAGAGTGGTGGATCAGGCGTGCCATGACTTGGTAGAGTTCGCCTTGCCGGCGGGGTTTTAACTTGCCCTCTTGCCAACCGGGGACCGTTATTTCGGCGGCGGCTCGCACAGCCGAGAGGTAGTCGGTGATGATGCGGTCTGGCATATCGGGGCGTCGGGACGCTAGGGTGGCTGCGATGACGGCGATTAGCTCGCCGTGTCCCGGGTTGTAGTCCTGTCCGGTGAGCTTGAACGCACCGCAGTGCGGGCCGACGACGGCTGCAGTGGTACTGGGCGTAATTCGGTTGGCGGAGGCGCGGTGGTGACTGCCATCTGTTGCCCATACTGGGGCGTCGGCGTATCGTGCAGTTGGTTTGATGCCCATTGAGAGGGTGCTGAGCAATGTCGTGGTCCGTTCGTCTTTGGAGGTAAGGAGTGAGCGGTCGAGTGTCGTTAGCATGTCCGGAAGGTTAAGTGACTTGAGCCAGGTGAGGAGTGCCACCCGGCGCGCCGTCTCACCAGAGCGTCGGTCAGTGCGGAGTGCTGTGCGTAGGCTCTCGATGAGCTGTGGGACTGGCTGATAGAAATCCGCGTCGCCGCGGGCGGGGGGGTAGTGTCCAAGGTGTGAGGTGCGATTGAGAATGTGCTGCAGTGATGCTCTGGTGAGGAGGTACGATTGGTTCGTCTCTATCAAGGACATGTTGGCCCACTGCAGGTATTGGTGTGCGGACGCCCATGATGAGGGGGTCCAGCGGCGGGGGAGTGAGCCTTCTGGGTGAAGTCCGGTGTGTGGGCGCTCGAGGGGCGGGTGGCATTTGCCGTGTGAGCGGTTGCAGGACCAGTTAGCGAGGGTGATCTCAGCTATGTTGCGGAAGGGTGTCAGGTGGTGGTTGAGGGGACGGAGGATGGACGCTATGGCGACTTCAGCGTTGATGCGGAAGATTGACGGGAAGGCGAAGCCATGACGGTCTATCGGGAGTGTCAGTATAGGGGACAACGTAGGCTCGGCATGGATGCAGCCCGCCACCTTGCGGGTTATGGCGATGTCGACTTGTTGCGCCATGGCTGGCGTGAGGGGCTGGAGCGTTAGGTAGGCGCGGATTTTGGGGAGAAGTAGACCCCAGCAGGCGCGGTTGATCAATGCGAAGGGGAGATCCGCCCCCGCGGGGAGCGGGAAGTCCCGTACCACGGTAAGGATGCGTTGCAGCATGTCGTTGGGGTTGTCTATGGCCGTCCGGAGGATGCGGGGCGTGCCTGTTGTTGGGACTCGTTTCGGTCCCTCGGGTGTCGCGACCGCGATGTGGTCACGTTCTTCACCTGGCGGGGGGGCTCCGAGTGTGAAGGCGACGGTTTTATCTGCGCTGTCCCAGGCGGTCATGATCCCGTACGTCGATTGAAATTCCTCGCATTGGTGTACGATCCTCGAGAGCGCATCCCACGATGATGCGAAGAAGATGGAGTCATCCATGGCTTCGACGCTAATGAGGCGGAGGCTGAGAGTGTCAGCGCGAGTATGATATGCCCGGCGGTGAGCGGTGAGGGTGCGTAGTCTGGGAAAGTCACTCGTTCTGTGGGAGGACTTGAGCCAGTGATAGAGCATAGCCATGGTCAGCGTGTATTTGATAGGGCTTGCTGGGTCGCCCTGCTTGGTCTGACCAGTGGTGTAGAAGGGTGTTCCTACGCCGTCTTGGGTCTTGACACGGAGCGAGACGTCAGTTGTGCGAGAAGTGTCAAATGTGATGACTGATGGGGGAAGACCGAAGAAGTTGACCGCGTGTTGGAAGGCTAGGGGAGATAGGAAGTCGAAGCCCTTGACGTGGTCGCGCTTGATGGCGAAGATGGTGGTGTCCGTGAGGCGGGAGGCCACGTCTACCTGCGCGAGGAAGTGCATCAGGTCTCCTGACTGGCAGAGCCGCTGGGTGGCCACCTGTGTCGGGGGTAGATAGGTCAGGTCCCACGCTGTTTCTTGCAGGAACATTGCGAACCAGCTCATAATGATGTTATGTAGGCAATTAGCGAACACCACGGCGCGGTAGTTGTCTGGTTGCATGGCGTCCCCTCGCTTGTATAGAGGGGAGATGTAATTTTGTTTGAGGCGTGGGGGGAAATAGTTGTGGACGATGCTGTAATTGCACAGTAGCAGGATCGTCTCCAGGAATGCAGGGGTCGCCGCCCTAACTGCCCACTTCTCCCAGCCGTCGGGACCAGGTGAGGGTTTCTGATTGCCCTTTCGCAATACCCGGTGTAGATCCTCGATGGTCATGGGTTTAGGCCAGGTGATGCCGGTGTCGCGGGTGGATTGTTGGAAGGTTCTCGCGGCGGAGCATGTCAGCCAGGGGGCAGGGGCGTCTGCGTTCGCTATTGGGGCCTGCGACAAGAGCTGGCTGAAGTGTTGTGTCCACCGTTGGAGCTTGGCGGTCGGTGTGGAGCAGACTCGAGGCTCGCCCTCGGGGCTGTCGGGCAGGCGTAGGACGGGGGGGTTCGTGATATGGCCTGGGGAGAAAAGGTGTTTTATGGGTCCCCCTTTCAAGGCGGACCTGTAGGCCTTGGTGAGATCCTCGGGGGAGGGGACGTAGTTTGGGTTCCACCGAGCCTTGCGTATTGCTGTAAGTACATGGTTGCGGTGGTGGCGGGCTGCTGCAAGATCATTTGTGTCCGGCTGTCGGTGTTGGTCAATGAGGGTCCATTCCGCGGCGGCGATGGGATCGCGCAGCTTGTTATGGAGCTCGCCTGTGTCTATGGCGCGGACGATTGAGCGCGCGGTCTTAAGTCGGCGAAGGAGTTGCTGGACCTCATCAGTGGGACGTGTGAAGAGGGCGGGGTTAGCGGACCGGGGGCGCTTTTTGTGGAAGCTCACGCGACAGGCGTGTTGCAGGGCTGTGTCACAAGTGGCAAGGGTGTCGTCGAAGTGGGCATCGCTGGATATGGGGTTCTCGTGTACAGCGGCGGGCAGTTTATCGGCTAGGGATGCTTGGAAGCGTGAGAAGCGGGAGGCGGCCGTGGAGCCGGAGGGCCGAATGTACCGCGTAGGGGCTCTGTTGCGGTGTGCATGGTGCGAGGGGATGAGCGCGTCGATGGCAATGTCTGCGATGACGGGCCTGTGGGCTGTGCCCGGGATGTCGTGTTGGTATGTGCGGATGTTAGTGACGGAGAGGGCGGGTGGAGTCGCGAACCTGTCTATGATACGACGGGCGCTTCCTGTGTCTCGGAACGTCCAGTCTCTGTTCGCGTAGACCCTATTTTGGTGATGCCATGCATCTCGGGCACCGGTGGAGTGCAATAGGTCTAAGTACGGCTGGGCCTGGCGGGGGAAGTGTCTGGCGTAGTCCGGATTGTAGCCTGTGTGTTCCCACCTGTGCAGACTGATGTTGAAGTCACCGCCGAGTATCCATCGTGGTGTTGTTCTTAGGAATGCTGTGAGCTGTGACCAGAATTGCCGACGTTGAAGACTCGTGTAGGCCTGTTCGTCTGAGGTGGGGCCGTAGGCCGCAACGATTCGGATGGTGTGAAGCGAGCTGTTGAGGCCTTCGAACGCTATGTCTATCGCTGCTAGCCGCCCGTCAATCGCAGAGTGGTTCGGGATCTGAGCCGGGGCCACAAGTGAAACGTCTCGGCGTCTAA